TTTGAACTCTATCAAACTTTTGAACTTTTGAGCCCCTTTTGAACTCTATCAAACTGCTCTAGCCCCAGCCACGGTCCTCTACGACTGCCCAGGGTGTCAGACTCCAAGCAGCTGCCCCACCTACTTACTGCCCTGCACAATGACTTGCCAGCTATTTAGTGCTCACTGCCCATCTGAAACAAGCATCACTGCATCCACTGAACCACCACCACCAGGAACCTTCAGGACCCACTGGACCCATTCCAGGACCTCCATACCCCTCATACACACACACCCCCTCCCTCCATGTTGGCTCCTCAGTCCAATGCGTCCAGTGTCAATTTGAACAAACATGGCAGCACTTGGACCAAGGAGGAAGTAGCAGACCTCGTTGCCAGCTGGGGTGAGATTGAGAATCAGAGAGTGCTCCAGTCAAGCCACTGGAACAAAGCAGTTTATCAAAAGATTGCCAAGGAAATGGCAGCCCAAGGATGTGATTGTGACTGGACCCAATACCAGTCCGAATGCAAAGTACTGAGGCAGCAAAGACAAAGGATACCAACCACACTGGGCACATACAGGGTCATGCATGTCCCCTATAAAGAAGTCTTCTGCATCTTCACGATCAGTGACACAGTTAGTTCCGAAAACATGGTAGACATGGAAGCATGCACTACTCCCAGGAGACTGGTGAAAACTCCAACGTGATTATGGTTAAAAACACACAGTCCTTGCAAGCCAGCACAGCAACCCAGACAAGCCAGATATGGGACTCCTAATCCATTCTGCTAAGCTGCCTGGACTCGTTGGCCAACTGCCAGAGCTGCATGGATTCTGAAATGGACCCAGGCTCTGGCAAAGAGGGCCCAGATCTTCCTTCCCCCCATGCTCAGCATCTCAGCCAGCCATCTCCCAACAAGGACCTGGTGCCCCAGAAGACCCAGCCCATGGTAGGACAGATCCTGGGGCTAATAAGTGGCAGGCCACTGTTATGTATGGGTTTAGGGCTGTGCTGTGCAATGTTTGGGGAACTGCATTTTGGAGCTGTGCTGAAACTGAATAGCTGTGCTTGGGGAACAGGATGGTTCACTCCCCACCTCCCTATATGAGTTTGATGTGTTAAAAGGTACCACTGGAGGCAAAGCGGGCAGATGTTTTTGGGATGGTCACTGCTCCATATTTAACCGTCACTGTGTTTTGTATTCCAATTCAGTTAAGCGGCGATTGATGCTATTTAAATTAACTTCTCACTTAATGTCTCAGTCATTCCTCTACCAAAAACACAACAGCAATAAGATACAGCAGTGAGAACCCAGCGCACCTTGCCTTGTGCCCAGAGCTCAACAAAAGCCATTTCACCACCTCCCTCCCTGATAACTCTGCTAAGTTGGGGCCTACTCACAAAAGTTAAAATACAAAATACTGATGGTACTAAAAAGTGCAAGAGGATGCAAGTTCATGGCTAGGCCACCTGAGAAGAAATAATGAGGTATCCCTTCCAGATTATCTTACTATATTTATGAGGATTTCCAGCAGACTCCTAGCGGTCTGGTATGTAACCGTGTGAAATGTATATCCTTGATTAATTAGTATAGTAAATATTCCTTTTGCAATTAACTCATGTTATGATGTTATGTACAGGAAGAGTCATTCTCCATATATGATAGATGTCTCCTCCTGATTTACTTCTGTTTTGTATAGTGGTTCCCTTAATTTTCTAAGGACACTCCCCCAAACCTTGTGTTTTTCCTTTTTGTTAATCAGTTTCTTAATATGTTCCAAATTTAGTAGAAATGGATAACCTCTTGTCACTAAGGAAAGAAATTCATTCAAATGAATGAATTAGAACATTCTAATAACCAATAATAAGCAGTTTGATTAACAGGATTTTCCTGTCAATTACTGCTTGGAACTCTCTCTCTCTTGATTTATAAAACTAAAATAATTCTTTGAAGATGCTGGACTAAGGATATAAAAAAGCAGTGAAACAGCTAACAGCAAGTGCTTCAAGAGTAAGAAATCTCTTCTGACATGAATTGCTGCTGCGCTCCAGCTATCTTGAGAAGCTCGAAGAAAGACCATCACTCTTGTTGCTTGTTTGGTGAGAAATCACCACGCTATAGCTAATTACTAGACTTAGCTTTTGTTTGGGCTCATTTGACTTTGAATATGTGTAGTAAATAAAGCCTTTCTGTCACTCATTGAATGAGGCATCATATCAATCCCTAGGCTAGTCACTTAATATCATGTGGAATAATGGCTTCCCTGGGCTTAAACAAGGTAATTAAGCCATGGGTTTCAAGCCATCCCCAAGCAGGGAGGCTGCATAAGCAGCAGCACGCGGGTCCCAGGCTAACTGTAGCAGATAGCCAGGAGGCTGCACCAGGGTCCACAGAGCCCGACTTGGCTTGCTGCCAGCAGCGGGTGCACGTACACAAGCTGAGCTGGGGCCCCATGGACCCTGATTCTGGTGCAGCTGCCTGTAGCCTCCCTGCCTCCTGCTGCGAGCAGCCTCCCCCTGCCCTCTTCTCTGTACTCCCTCCTTCACCCCCTGTGCTCTAAGACTGCAGGGCTTCCCACCCTTTTCTCTGCATGCTGGTCAGTATTTTGGGTATTTTTGCAGCGAACCCACTGAAATTGCAGAGCCTGCCATTTTTCATGGAGCCCACCCGATTTTGCATTTTCCACAAAAATCACACAATTGTCAAGTTGGTACATCCCTAGTAATGACCATGTACAGATCCATAGCAGCCAACAATAGTGGAAGATTTGGGTCACAGTCAGTGGTGGAAGGCAGGAAAAATGCAGTGGAAAGTCAAGCAGGTGATGAGGGGCTTGAGCTGCATAGTGAATCACTCTAAAATCCCTCCAAATTCCACCATGCCATTGAACAACCAAGGGAAAAATTACCCAACACCAGCAAAGTCAGGGGAACCTATGGACACTTGACCAATGCCAGGCATGCTGATATGTACGTGTGCTTTCTAAGGCCACTTACTAAGTAGGTCAGGGGCAGGCAATTATTTTGGGCGGAAGGCCCCTTACCGAGTTTGGGCAAGCTGGCAAGGACTGCAGGGGTAGCCCCGCCCCTTGACAGGTGTCCCGCCCCCTGGTCACCACCTTGGGACAGGAAGTCCTGCCCCTAACCTCTGACCTTTGCCACTGGAAGTCCCTCCCTTTGCCCCTGGAAGTACTCCTTTAGGGAAGAGGGTTTGACATCTTGGGGAAAAACAAACAACATACTAAAAATCAAATACCCATAAAAATATATTTTAATTTAATTTTAAAACCTTTTTTTTTTCCTGATTGGTGGGCATTTGTGGTGTATATGCAGAAGTGATTGCATATGGGGGTTTGCGGGGATGTGTGGATGTGTGTGTGTGGGTATGGATGTAGGTATGGGAGCCATGTAGTGCAGAGTGGCCAGGCAGGAAAGTGAGGAAAGTGGCAGGAGGGGCGGAGTGGAAGTGAGCAGGAGCATGGGGCCTGCACCAATGTCCCAGGGCCAGTGCTGGTGGGGCCCAGAGTGGAGCAGTTGGAGCGCAGGGCGCGGGCTGTCAGGGGTCTGTGGAGCCAGGCCGGACTGCACCAGCAGAGGAGGAGGGAGCTGGCCTGGCTCCAGAGCCCCTGCTGGCTGGGACCCCACAATCCTGCCGCCCTGCTCTGGGCCCCACTGGTGCTGGCCCTGGGACACCAGCATGGGCCCCACACTCCTGCCTGGCTGCCACTAGCGCACCCGTTCACTCCCAATGCCCCTGCCCTAGCCCCACGGTACAGGCAGGGAGCAGTGCACAGCCCTGACCCCACGCTTGCCTGTGGGGAATGAGCTGGTGCTCAGTGCAGAAAAAAAACGCTCCCCTCCCCATGGCCGGCACTCTGTGCTGCAGCCGATCGCAGCCTGTGTGGGGCTGTCCTGCCTCTCCACTGCATCACTGTCACCCTGTGTGGCAGTGGTGACAATGGAGAGCAGGCACAGGCAGCCCTGAGTGGGCTCCAAGTGGCTGCAGCAAACCGCACCAGTCACGGGGAGGGGGAGCGGCCGCTTTTCCCCTGCGCTGGGCACCTGCTCGTTCCTTGTCGCCACTGCTAGACTGGGCCCTATGCCAGCTCCTCATCCATTGGGGCTGAGGCACGGCAGCAACAGCTCGGCAGAGAGGAAAGCGACCCCCCCCTGCTCACTGCCGCTGGGCAGTGTTTGCTACCTGGAGCCCATGCCCTGCTAGGCTGTAGTGTGGCTGCTTCACCGCCGCCTCTGTGCTGCCCAGCAGCTGCTCCACTGCTGCTGCGCTGGGCAGCACAGAGGCAATTGTTGAAGCAACCGCACCACAGCCTAGCACAGTGGGGGCTCCAGCCAGGCAGCCGCAGCAAACACTGTCCGGAGGTGGCGAGCGGGGGGCTACTTTCCTCCGCACCAAGCAGCAGCTTCTGGGGAACAAGCTGGTGGAGGGGGAGATCCCCACGGTCCTCCCCTGCCTCTTACCTGAATTTCCCAAGCTGGTGCAGCCCCAAACAGCCCCATGGTCCCAGGCCGGCTGCGGGGGGACGGTGGGACGCAGCAAACATTACCTGCTTATCTGCCTTTGACAGAAACCAGGGGCAGATAAATATTAATTTTCTAAATTTTTTAGGTTCTCCGCAGGCTAGATAGAATGGCCTGGTGGGCTGCATCCGGCCCACAGGCCATATTTTGCCCACCCCTGAAGTAGGTGAAAGAGTGGCAGTTAATTAGGCCACTCTTTAAACCCACTTTGAACAATGGATAGACATGCCAATCCTGTGACCTTTTTGTTCCTGGAGTCACAACAAATGCAATATCTGTTTACAGCTCAAAGTTAAGGTAGGGGGTGGAAACCTGTAGCCTGCCTTGTAGTTTTACTTTATAAACTCTCTTGTACATTGACAAATAAAGAAGATTCTACAGTTCATGAGTTTTTTTCCTCCTCCCTAATCCTAAAAAAGGAAGCTCTAAATATCTGGCATTACCATGTTATTTGTTTAAAAAGCAGAAGCAGTTATAATACCTGTATAGAGAAATATTTCACATCTCCAAAATTAACTGTAACATCCCTTAAGTAGCTCCTCTGGTGCACTTTGAGAATTTGTGGATTTGTGCATTTCATGATGCCATTAACAGTAATGCGCAGAAGCAAGTTTGTGTTTTGCTGTACGTCAACTGAATAATCTCAGATTTAGGAAGTATAAAACTCTTTCTAGACAGCTGAAAAAATAAAACTTTCATGAAATGGTAGCATCATGAAAATGATCAGCACTGTTCAGTAAGATTCATCTCTGTGCCATGTGTGCACTAATCTGATTGATAAAAGCTAGGTAATGCTTTTGGACTGCTTTTCTAAATAAAATAGTTCCCCCCATAAACTTGTCTTCTTTTTTCTAAAACATGCAACAAACAAAGAAGTCTACTCAGTGACTATCATTGGACACTGGCTCAGCAATAAATTCCTGCTCAGTTTACATATTCAATGGGTGTCAAGCCCTAAAGAAAGAGACCATTATCTTCTACAGCAGTGGTTCCCAATCTGTGGTATGCAGAAAACCTGTCAGTGGTTCACATTAACAGATTTATTATAATTACTTTATATAACAAAAATTTGCTGGTGGTACTTAAGGTTGAACTGAAAAATTTGCTAGTGGTACTTAAAGTTATATTGTTTTAAACTGGTGGTGCACAATCTGTCAGAGTTTGGGAACTGCTGTTCTACACTGAATAACAAGAACCTATATCACCCCTACTCAAAGTTACTCATGGTGTTGTCCCTGAAAAAATAGAGGAAAACACGGTTGGCAGGGATGGAAGGTAGGAAAAGAATCAGAAAAAGGATACATTTTGATGTAAAATGTTTGCATAACGTCACACAAACAGCTAAGCAACCAACCTAACAGAATAAAAAAAAAGGACAAGCAATAAATTAATCACACAAATATTAAAATTTTCTATAAGGTGACAATCATCTATTTTGTAGACACTTATAATACAGGAAATCACTTGTAAATGTGTCTTATGTATTACTTTGTCTTACAAAATGGTTAGAAGAAACATCAGAGTTCCAAATCCCCCCACATTTTCAACAACCCTGCATAGTGGGAAACCTTCTTTCTTCAACCATTGAGACAATTTGGGAAATCCTGACTCAGCTTCACTTAAATAAGGGCTGCCCAACTCGCAACCAATGCATGTTAGTCATTGGCTGCCAATGTCATTGGCAGTCATTGTCTGCATGTTAATCATTCAGAGGCTACATGCAACTTGCAGGCTGTCAATTGGACAACTCGGGACTTAGACAAGGTTTTGGGTATTCCAGGACCCTTCCCCAGGTCTCTGGGAGAGAAGCAAAGGATGGAACCATACACTGAGCTACTGCATTTTTCAGGAAAAAAGCTAACTATTAAATTCTCAACAAAAGCCAGTACCACCATAACCTCTCACGCTCAACAAGAAAAGCCATGCATTCCCTAAAATCCAACAACAAAATAGCAATCAAACCAGCAGACAAAGAAGGAGCTTTTGTCACCCTCAGTCATCAAAACTACATCAATGAGGTTAGCAGACAACCTTCTGACACTAATTCCTATAAAGAACTTTGGAAGGACACCACACCAGTATTCACTCTGAAACTGGAAAACATTATTAAATACTTTCTACATCAACCTCAGGAAAAAACTACTTCTAATAATTCCCCACTCTCAGATGCCAGGAACATTTTACATGCTCCCAAAGAATCACAGTGAAGGTAACCCTGGCAGTCCCACCATATTCAACTCCAGTATTCTCACTGAAGAGTTATCAGGATTCATAGAAACCATCCTGAAACAACTTGTCACTCAAAAAGCAACAAGACACAACAGATTCTCTCAACAAGATCTAGAACACTGACCACCTCCCTGAGAAGGCCATACTTACAACCATGGAAACTATGAGGGTGAAATCAGTCAAAAACTATGCACCAGAATGAACAATCACAGAAAAAAGATAAAGGACAGAGATGCTAGAAAATAGGTAAGAGAATATTTTTCAAGGAAAAAAAATCACTCACAATCTCATAGTTTTTATGCTCAAGGGAAATTACAAAACACTTTCACTGGAAACAAAAATGCATTAGCATATTGGACACTAGCAACCCAGGACATGACATACAATGATTTATATAAAGTTTAGATTATGGTTTGTATGGGATAGTTTGGATAGGAATGATCCTGCCTCAGGCAGGAGGCTGAACTAGATAACCTCTGGAGGACTATTAGCCCTATACTCTATGACTCTATGACTTCATGGTCCATTATAATCTACTTAATATTCACCAATCTCTGCACTTCACAAAAGATAACAATGCTCCTGAATGATCTTGCTCTTCCATTTATCAGATTTTACTGTCTCTCTCTTGACTGTAGGCTCCTTGATAATTTCCCTTATATCCTGCTTTAATTTAGGGCCATGTCACAAATGAAATTTAGGATGTGTTAACTGCACTTAAAACAAGTGTCCAGGTGCTCAAGCAATAAAACACGTGCTAAGTGCAACTGTATCATAGCAAAGCTATAATTTTTCACAGGAGGACTATCTCCATATCATATTAAGTGACATATGTTCAGCTATCACTGGACTGCTCCACAGAGATAAGAAGTTCAAGACTCCAGTGTGATGCCAAGGCTGGGACCAATAATCAAGACTCCAGTTCATTGTCAGTCCCAGCTCTGACACAACACTGGGACTGTTTCAAGACTTTGAAGGGCCTGACTTGCCCTGCAGATCCAGCAGCAGGTGCAGATTCAGTGGCATGAACAGCACGCTCTCCTGGGCTTGGTTTCTCATGCCTCCCTCCACCTGCTGTCAGTGGCAGAGACCTGGCTCACATCAGCATACTAGGGGCAGACACTCCCAGGCTGGGAAGTGCCAGGCACATGGCAGGAAAGGTGCGGGCTCTAGGCATAGCTGTTGCAAGTTTTCACAGGCAGACGTACGAGCTGTGGCAACCAATGCCAGAGTTAGTGCCCAGGGAATGGGGCCATACTCAATCCCAGCCATACCCAGGGTGGGCATGGATTGTAGTAAGCATTACCATGCAACTGCTTAGAACATGTTCTCACTGTTAATATGGTATAGTAATGCTTACTACAGTCTCAGGCAAAACATGTGTTAAGTGTCCTATGCAACAAGGCCCCTACCTAAGGAGTTTTACATAAGCCCTTATTCCATCTGCTATTTAGCTCTGCTGTACCTGCTTCTCTCCCAGAGACCCAAAGAAGGGTACTATGATACCCAAATGCTTTTCCAAGTCTATACCAAACATGCAGTTGGTCCAATAAAAGGTATCACCCACAAAAACTCTTGCCTCTTTAAGACATAAACATTTCAGAAATAAGAGGGAGAAAAATGAAACAATAACAACTTAGAAGTCTGATTTTAAAAGTAACAAAGCACTCCAATGTACAAAAATGGAAAACACTGTAGTTCTTGGGGGACTTTGCAAACAGTGACAAAGCAACCCAAACAGGCACTTTAGGCAGAAGTACACTGTGCTGTAAAAACAAAGTATTGAAGCATGTTTAAAGTTGCATATATTTTGGATGAGTGATACAAAATTGCCTTTTTAAAGAGACCAAAACAATAAATCTGATATGTAGATATGTGTTTTGATCTGAAAGTGTAAAAAGAGACTCTAGCTGCTTTTTTTGAAGAGACCATACTTTTTTGAAGAAAGGGGCCATGGCTACCTTTGCACCTGTACAGCACTTAGCAGAGAGATCCCTGATCTTCCTCAGGAGCCTCGTGTACAGGTTTTGCTTGCCAACCATGGTTTTGACTATCCATGCTTCGGGGGGGTGGGGGCGGTGTACAGTCCGAAAATACCCTCCCTGGCTCCCCTGCCCGTGCTCATGCCTCTCACTGTCCCCTCCCTCCCCACAGCCTTGCTGGTGCTCCTCACCCCTCACTCACAGCCCCTGCTCCCCAGGTCCCGAAATTCTGCCAATCATAGGAACTTTCAGGAACCTAATCCCCGTGGCTGGCAAGGGAAACCTGCACTACCGTATAATGCAAAGAACATTTTCATCAATAAACTGGACAATGATCAAACTTAACTTGCAGCTAAGAATGCAAAAGCTTATGTAGAATGCAAAATCTTATGTATCGGTGACATGAAAAAAATAACGTAATTTTGGGCATACAGAATATTTTCAAACATTCTCCTGAATGATACTTAAAAATATAAGGTAATTAAATTTTGGCAAAAATTGCACTACTGCACAGTTATAGTTATTAAGCTTCCATAAGCAAAGCAGAACTACTTTGATGAAGGGTTTCTCAAACATTTTATTTTGTAAAAGTCTTAAAGAGAGACTATCGAACAGACCCTGTTGTATTACAATGTCAAACAACTTCCTTCCGATCTTTAATTGTATAATATTTGGGTTCCAATTAAAAGAATAACTTAACTAAAATGCATTAAAGACTGCCCTAATATTATAATACCGTTTTGTAGTTGGAAACATGGAAAAATAGGCTGCACTATGTGACCACCCACAGACTGTCAACCAGTCTTCCAGGTACCATCAATCATAGCTTGACTACCTAATGTCTACATACCACTTCTCCACAAGGTACTAAACTGTAAACATCAGAAGGTTGTCCAGGTTCTTTATCAGACAATTGCACAGCTGTCTGCAGCTTCTAACGAAAAAATAGAAAAAGAACAGTTTTGCACCAAGCAAAGTGGTGAGGACAAGAAAGCCACATCTCCTTTGACTGAACTGCATAGCTCATGGGAGGGAAATTTGATAGGACAAGGAGTCCGGACATATCAATCAGTGGGCATGATGGGGAGTTATATATTTGCAGTCCTCCAGACTGGGGCATAAAAGTAGCTCTTGTAGCATGCAAGGCATCTGTTAATCCCTCAGGATTTTACTGGGTCACCTGGGGGATTAACAGATTTAATATTATAAAATATTAAATATGTGCATTTGCCTTCCTTATGTAAAGTCTACGCACCATAATCCATAACTGATATATGCAAGCACATGGACACATTTGTGTTGTGTTGGCGTTACAGAAACCTCCTGGAATAGATTCAAACAGAGCTGGCAACCCTAGCCTTCCTGTTGTGAGGGGTAAAGCCCTTTATCTAGATCTTCTGAACAACCATTAACTCCTTCCCTATCACTGTAGTGGCAGGATACTGGTAGTGCCCTCATCTTCCCTTCTTTAACCTGTATGTTCTAGGCAGAGGTGCCAAATATATATGGCCTGTGGACCAGATCCAGCCCACTGGGCTACTACTGGGCATCTGGAATTTGGGGGTCATGGCCAGAGAGCGCACCCTACTGGAGAATCTGGGGCCTCCTGGCCCTGATGGACATGGCAATCAGCTGCAGAAGGAAAAGCGAGGACAATACCAGTCTTTACAGGTTAGCCCATGTCACCCTCCATCTGTTTTGCCTGTTACCACCACAGCAGCCCTACCTCTTTGGCTGCCAAACCTGCCACCAGCCCATGCTAGAGCCACCATATGCAACATGCTGGAGATGGACTGCTGCTGTATGCCCTGGGCTGGATCTGGCCCAAAGAGAGCGCTGTGGTTTGGATCCTGCCCGGGGCACAAGGCAAGTTTGACATTCTGATTATAGGCGTTTTGGATATTGCTCCTGCAATTTGCAGGTGAGGGTGTGAAGTGGCAACTTTGGGGATTCCTTTGGTTAACTAGTTCCTACCATAGGGCAATTATACATGTGCTCCAGGAGAGGGGAGGCACTTTAATTGGAGCATCTCTGAGAGCTGCTCCAATGCAAGTGCCCAAAGTGTCTTATGTATCAGCATCCCTGCGCTTAAAAATGACAACAGGGGGGCTTTAACTAAAGTTCGTTGAACGAGCTTTAGTTAAAGCACACCTGCCATCATTTTTAAGGACAGGGATGCTGATACAAGAGACACTGAAGTCTGCTAGAGCAGGGCAATTACCACACTCCAGAGCCTTGCTCCCTGACAGGAGCTTGAGGGAGTCGCGACCTGGGTGAGCTCGGCTGGCCCTGCCACATGTTCAAATTCAAGCTGGCTAGAAACCAAATGTGAAGTTGCCACACACTGTCAAGCAGAGCTGTCCCGACAGGGGGGCATGGGGTGACTGCCCTGGGCCCCGTAGAGCCGGGCCAGCTGCTCACCAGCCACGTCCGGGCCCTACACTCTGCTACGATCACCTCTGCTGTTAAGCACTAACTTCGTGGCTGGTTGGGTAGCGAGGTGGACCTTTGCACGGCGTGGCAATTACTTTGCACGTTGGAGCCGGTCTAAATTCCTTGCGGGATTCACCAGTGCATTCCCTGCTGCTCCCCACCACTCCTTGCTCCCTGCTTAGGCACCGCGCAGCACTTCCCCCACCCCTTCATTGGTGACCATGCCTGTACTTTGCCGCGCAGCCTGGCCCAGCGCTGCATGGACTCCACGGAGCTGGTCAGGAAGGCCGACAGCCCGGAGTTGCCCTCCTTGGCCCCCGAGTCCGGCATGGCGGGGCCGCCGCCCCGCCCCGCGGCGCTCTTGCTCTGGAAAGCACCGCCACGGCCACGGCGGGCGGACGTTTTAGCCATCGCTTCAATAGTCCGCCCAGTCACTTCTTCATGCCGCCTTTAACAACCCTTCCAGGCGCTTGGCACCAACGTGGGTGGCCAGAGCATTTCGCACTAAACACAGCAAGACAGCAGTAAAACCCGGTCCTCCCCTGCAGACCCCCCCACCCCAGTGTTTCAATTAAGGCCATTACAAATATTTCACTTTTTTTTCCTCTTCAATAAAAGGCTGCTTCTCAAACCTGTCTTGAACTGGTTTAAGAATTAACTGGAAAAAAAGGTCTCATTTAAACCACAGTTAAACAGGAGAGTCTCAATGGAAACTGGTTTTAGCAAAATCCTAAATCGGCCAAAGGGGAAGCTGACACCTGTGCGCATTTAAAACGCTGCAAGGCTAATAGATCCCCGGCTCAACTCAAGGTAATCTGAGTTTAATACATATTCACAGGAACACACGTCAATACACAGGAGTAGGCAAACAGATGCATCAATATCAGGCCTTTCCAAAAATGTAAATTGGAAAAGCAAGTCTGGTTTGAAGATCAGCTTTGATAAGATAGTCACTGGCTATTAGTTTGCAAAGAAGGAACACAGGCAATGTTTTGACAAGACACAGCCCTTCCAAGAGGAACTGGGAAAGGCCAGCTGTTAGCAGAAATGTTGCTATAAAATTAAATCAGGTAGGTTTTATTCCGTACACTTTTTCACCCTTTTTGTCCCTGAGATTTGTTAGAAACAGTGATGATGTGTCTATGGCTATTCTGAGTTTTCAGAACTCCCCCCTTATTTTCTACAGCAGTGGTTTGCAACCTTTTTTCATTTGCAGACCCCTAAAAAATTTCAAATGGAAGTGTAGACCACCTTGGAAATTTCAAATAGAGGTGCAGGCCCCTCTGAATTGCAAGTGTGGGTATTCACATGCTTTTGATTTAACATAGTCATCTTTTGCAGACCCCTCAGACACAGCCTGCAGACCCCCAGGGGTTTATGGACCACAGGTTGAAAAACACCAATCTAAAGGCTAAGGCTTCCCAGATGCAGCAACTGAAAGCAATCAGATTTTCTAAGGAGCTTATTACTCACAAATGTAGCAGGTGTTCAGCAATTCTGATACATGTGTTACGGACTAACCAAAGTAGACTATATATAGGTCGAGGGACCCTGGAAGTCCCACCTCTTCCTGGAGGTTGACAGGTGGCCACCTGTCAATCTCCAGCAAGGGGCAAGACTTCCAGGGCCTCTCAGCCACTCAAGGAGTGGGTGGGGAGAGGGGCACTCCTCTGAGAATCCGCCCCCCCCCTCTGCTTCAGGATGCCAGGACTTCCCACCTGTTTGCAGCTCCCTCCCCACCCCCTATTATATTGCTTTTTCATGGTCCTCGTACTTTTTCACAGGGACTGGACTTTTTCACTGGGGAACTACCAATTCACAACTTCCACAAGGATCACAAAATCATGAATTTGGTAGATCCCAACCCAATATGTCTGCACAAAGTGTCATGCCAAATAGACAGCATGGGGAGGAGCAGCAGCTGCACTGTCACAGAGGTATCTGGCCTGAACACCAGATATGCTTGCAAGTGGGCAAAGAGGGAGCGTGCTATATTCCAAGGGCATCTCTTCTGTGGCTCAGACTGCCAGCATCTTCCCCAGCATTTGCAGGCAAGTATTGCAGCTGCCTGTAATGTAACTAATGCCTACAGGGAAGGGTGTCCTGCACTTCTCTGTAGTGTACCTAAACAGGGACAACCATGAACTTAGTCCTATGGATTTTTTTTTTTTTAAGAGACCACACAATGTTCACAAACACTAACAGCAAAGTTGTTAAATTTATCAGCAGCAGAACAGATTCCTTAGGATGTGGCTGAAAGTAATGGAGCACCTACTTTTAATTCAGGTAGAATTATTTCATTTCATTTAGCCCCCAGCTGCCTCTTCTGTCATGTGTTTAGAAAGGGGGTTGCATCCATGCTGCTACACCCCCTCTGGACCATTCTGTGCCTAGACCACTACATTCCCTTTATAAATTCACTCATGTCCATATTTCATTTAATAAGATGATGCAAAAAACTAGTTTCAATAAAATAGCATATAAAAATTGTGCAACATTTCCTTATTTTTTTCTTCAGAAGCACGGTTTTCTTTCCAGTTTCAACCACACTACTTTTCCATAGGCACTAAGGTTGCTTGCGTTTCCTTCCAAATACCTGGGATGTTTTGGGGGGGGGGTTAAGACAAACTATTCTATTACTAGTCCTAGGAACAAGTTTCCAGCTGTCTTCCAAAACATGCTGAGTGCAACACAAAGCAACATAAAATTGCTCTGAAAAAAAGACCCCCAAACATTCTCCACTTACAAATGTACAGACCAAGAACCTTATTAACACAGCTGAAATCTACATTTCTTAATTTACAAAGAGCTATGAACAATACAATTATGGCCACAGGTGCCCCTATTAGCATGGAGTAAACTAATTTATTCTGCAGCACTTATAAGCACTACACTTATAAGTAAGTACTAAAAAAATGTTCTTACTCCACAGTAGCACAAGTGTATGCACTGCCCTGGCTGGCAGGGGGACAAGCATGCTTCAGCGCAGGGGCTGCCTGCCAGCTAGCCCTATGCTGAAGCACCCTCATGTCCCAGCCAGCCCCTCTGCAGCACGTTGAGTCCCCCAGAGCCTCCTGCCAGCCTGGGCTGCTCCAACCCAGCTCAGTGTGCTGCAGTCCTGACCATACATTCAAATGGCATGCCCATAAGCAATAGACTCGAGAGCAATAAGCACATTAAATTGCATGTGTCGATGCACCCCATCAGTCTCTGTCACTGGCTACGTCAGTAGTAGGTTTACAGGGCTACTTTGTCTCTATTCACTAGAAAGACTTTGCTTTATCAAAAAAAGAAAAGAAAAGCATTATAAAAATTGTATAGACATATTTTCAAGTATCTTGGTAAATTTAAAAAATAGCATAGTTAAAATAAAAGATCCACCATAACAAATATGTACATTATACAAAAATACAAATTTTGCTTTGTAAAAAACATATACAAAAGGTAGTATACATAATGCATTACACCATCAGTCATAGCTAGTATATTTGAAGATGCATTTCTGCACTATGACTGGACTTTGGAGGTTTTATCTAAGGGAGGAAATTCTTCTACTTCATCCTGAAACATCAGTTCTGAAAAAGAAAAAGAACACAATGTTAAAGACCTTCTACTTAAAAACCATTATATTGTACTGCAGAGTGCAGTGGACATATATACCTTTTGACTAGCTAAAAGCACACTTTTGTTTGGAAAAAACACATTTCAGCACGTGGCTGGATTGATTGTATTTTCAGACACCCTTCTAATATAATCATGTGCTTTTTCAGTTGGAGTAACTTTTTTTAAGGGAGGGAAAAAAAAATATATATAAATATATATATATATATATTTATTTTTTTTTTTAAAGCAGCCTGACACTGCTTTTGCATGGCTCTGAATTTCTAGTCAACTTGGGATGGTTCCTAGATTAACTTTATCATTATTTTTCTCTTGACATTTCTGAGGCAATGTGCCTGGGTATTAGTTAAAACATGTGAACTTGGAGGAGAAAGATTTGGATTCCAGGCAAAACTCTGCCAGTGCTTCCTTTACTTGGACAAATCAACTTAACCTCTTTGTGTGTCAGATTCTCCATTTTAAGACATTTTCAAGAAGCAATACTATGCTATGTTACTTTCTATACAAAGATTTTAAAGACTGCAAGCTAGATTTTTGAGTTGTCACTCCACTCAAAACAAGCAAATGATACCAGAAGGGGGAATAAGGTAGAGCACGTGACTGTAGTGCAAGAAGTTCTTAAATACTCTTAGAAAGTAATCTGAAAAAAACATACCAAAGTGTCCTAAATCTCCAAATTACTATCTAAGGTGATGGTCTGGCACATGATCAAAATTTATGAAACCTACATACCCCATTACTTTAAGTCAGTGGACTGGGAGGATTAAAGGTGAAATTAAACCACCTCTGCTTCATGATACCAGTACCAATGGGCAATAGTCCCAGTCCCTACCACAGCATATTAGAATACCAGTTTCTAGGATCTGCTTCCCACTGAGAAAAGAAAACAGTGTGCTGGCCTCAGCGGTACCACCTAGTCTGGGCTTCTGCTCCTGTGTCATAGATTTGACACCTCTTTAGGTCAAGAGATTTCAGTACATTCTGGGATGTAAAGTTTGCAAACATTTACTTCAGTATATTATTTGGTTAACATACCACAAATACAGCACTAATGGAATGAGAGGGAAAGCACCCAGGCTGCTGGATACAAGACAGGAAGTTCTAAGGAAAAATTTAGAGCCTTCTATTATGCTGAAAAATATGTTCCCTAAACTATAACCTGTATGTATTCAGCTTAGGTCACTTGTGGAAAATGGGACCATAAAATAGTGCAAAGGAATTTCCTAGTATGTAAGCAGAATACATCATTTTCAAGGGCTTGATGAAATATTGTTTAATCAAAATTATTTTTCCTTTCACAGAGGAAAGGGTAAACATTTTAAAATGCAGCTTAATTCCCCTCAGCTAGGGCATACAAGCAGTCAGATATTGTTTAAAACACAGATATTTTTCTCCATTCTTACAGCATGCAAAAATGACCAATTATTTCTTCAAACATTTTAAAACAAGCCATCAGAGACCAAACATGGATATTTCATTCCAAAAGTGAACACTTTGGAAAGCAATGGACAGAGAAGGGAAAAAAATGTTTTTTTGATTACTAATGATAGCAATGATATGCTTTGTTCTGTGCTCTGAAGACAGAACAAAAATGGAACTGGTGAAGCCTATATAAAGGAACACAAAAATCTCCAATCCTCTTCTGGGCCTAATGTTCCTTACCTTCACTGTGATCTGGCTCTGGCTGGTAAGATAAGATGACCCAGGACATCCCAACTAAAAGAGCCA